CCCCCCCCTCCCTCCATTCTCTCTCTCTCTCTCCACCCCCCTTCCTCTCGCTCCCTCTCCCTTTCTCTCTCTTTCTTAGAGACGGGGGTCTCACTACCAGGCTGGAGTGGAGTGCCAAGATTATAGCTCACCATGGTTTCAAACTCCTGGCCTTACGTGATCCTCCTTCCTCAGCCCTCCCAGTAGCTAGGATTACAGTGCACGCCACTACGCCCAGCTAATTTTTAAATTTTTTTTAGAGATGAGTACTCTCTATGATGTCTAGGCTGGAGCTCCTAGCCTCAGGCAGTCCTCCCTCCTGGGCCTCCCAAAGTGCTGGGATTATAGGCATGAGCTTCTCTACATCTGGCCGGAGGCATGTTTTCAATGCCTTTTTTCTTTTCTTCTTTCTTTCTTTCCTTCCTTCCTTCCGAGTTAGGGTCTCTCTCACTCTGTCACCCAGGCTGGAGTGCAGTGACACCATTACAGCTCAGCGCCGTCTCGACCTCCTGGGCTTAGGTGATCCTCCCGCCTCAGCCTCCCGAGTAACTGGGAGTCTCTAACTTTTCACAGACCCTTGGAAACATCTCAAGCGCTAGAAATTGTGCATAAAATGAATACAAAACGGTCCTATGTGCCGAGTTTTGTGCTGGTTGCCTTGATGGGAAGGGGGTATACAAAAGAAAACCTGCTCCCCAGAAATGCATCATCGAGTTCCACAGGTTTCCTTTCCTGTCCTCAGCCCACACATCTCCGCTGTCATCTTAAGAAAAAAACATTCTGTCGCTCCTACCGATTCTTTCCACTGTTCTGCTTGGTTCTGGCACGGCCCAGTCATTTCCCAGCGAACCCTTTAATCAGGACAGACACGTTGGAAGTCAGACAAAATGGAGGACAAAAGTAACCACAGCCAGGCACCACCTAACATGGAGATGCATCCTGAGAAATGTATCGTTAGGTGATTTCAGCACTGTGCGAACACCGTAGCATGCGTGCACACAGCCCCAGAGGGTCTAGCCTGTGGCTACACATCTCAGCTAGGTGGAACAGACTGTGGCTCCCAGGCTACCCACCTGCACAGTGAGCTATTGTACTGAATACTGTAGGCAACTGTAACACAAGGGGAGGCATTTGTGCATCTAAACATAGAAGAGGTATGGTATAAAAGATTTTTTATTTTCTTTCATTTTATTTTATTTTTGAGTCAGAGTCTCACTCCGTCACCCAGGCTGGAGTGCAATGGCACAGTCCCAACCACCACAGCCTCCACCTACTGGGCTCGGACGATCCTTCCGCCTCAGCCTTCCAAGTAGCTGGAACTATAGGCACGTGCCAGCACGCCCAACTACTTTTCTGATTTATTGTAGAGATGAGGTCTTGCCAAGTTGCCCAGGCTGGTCTCGAACCCCTGAGCTCAGGCAATTCTCTCGCCTCGACCTCCCAAAATGCTGGGATTACAGGCATGAGCCACCACTCCCAGTAAAGATTTTTTAAATGCTACATTTCAGCCGGAAGTGGTGGCTCAAGCCTGTAACCCCAGAACTTTGGGAGGCCAAGATGGGAGAATTGCCTGAGTCTAGGATCTTGAGACCAGCCTGGGCAACCCTGTTTCTAAAAATAATAATATTTATTTCTTCAATAACAAATGGACCATAGTTTTTGTTGTTGTTGTTTTTTGTTTGTTTGTTTATTTGAGTTGGAGTCTTACTCCGTCGCCCAGACTGGAGTACAGTGGCCGTTCCCAGCTACCGCAGCCTCGACCTGCTGAGCTCCGGTAATCCTTCCGCCTCAGCCTTCCAAGTAGCTGGAACTACAGGCGTGTGCTACCACACCCGGCTAATTTTTTATTTTTATTGTAGAGGTGAGGTCTCGCCAACTTGCCCAGGCGGGTCTCAAACTCGCGGGCTCAGGCAATCCACTCACCTCAGCCTCCCAAAGCGCGGGATTAGAAATTGAGCCACCGAGCCCGGCTGGACCATAGTTTACAATAACTTTTTAACTTTATAAACATTTTTATTTTTTTGAGTTGGGGTCTCACTCTGTTGCCCAGGCTGGAGTGCGGTGGTATACTCATGGCCACCACAAGTCTCAACCTGCTGGGCTCAGGCTATTCTTCCACCTCAACCTTCCAAATAGCTGGAACTATAGGCCACCATGCTCTGCTCATTTTTTAATTTATTGTAGAGACGAGGTGTCGCTAAGTTGTCCAGGCTAATCTTGAACTCCTGGGCTCAGGCAATCCTCTCACCTCAGCCTCCCAAAGTGTTGAGATAACAGGCCTGACCCACCATGCCAGGCCATTCTGCCTAATTTCTTTCAGGCAGACACAGGTCAGTCGCCAACTTACTGAGTAACTAGTATGTTCTGAAGAATCGTGGACATGCAAATCCGAATAGTGAATTCTAGGCCCACGTGAGATTGGGAGGAGCCAAAGCGAATTGCAATGAAAGCTTTTTGGGAAGAGATTTCCTTTGCATCATTCTTGGTGTGTAAGTACCTTTCATCCTGTTTGCAGAGCGTTTTGGAGATCAAGGGAATGGTATATGAAAAAATCGACATCCGGTTTAGACGAGGAAAACCTACCTTCCCCCAAGAAAAGGCATTTTAGAAAGAAGAAGTCAAGACCACCGAGAAACCCAGACACCAACAAGCAACAGCGGGTCCATGAGCAGGTGATCACACTACCCTGTTCCATCTGCAGGCAAGAAATTGACCTCTTTGGTGTTTTTCTCCATAAGCGGCAGCATGTGGCTCTGGCCACACTGGGTTTACAGTGGATGGTCAGGAAGAAGCCGCAGTCCTCAGTGATCATTCTTCAGAGACAGTTCGTCATTTCTAAGCTGCTGTCGTCCGCTTCGCTCACTGAGAAATCCCTGCAGAGCATCAACCGTGCTTTTGAGCTGCTTTGGAAAAAGCAGATACCGGCATACTATAAGATCTTTGAGGACGTCCACGGGAGGAGTTCTACATACCCTCAAAAAACCTGTCACCTGTTAATTAAAGGAGTCGCCATTTCTAAAAACAGGAACTCCACATGGAAAGCCAACATGAATGATACCTTCACAGTAGTGGATCATTTTGGCAACAGGCCCAATGTGTGTTTTTTCGGACTGTTTGACGGGCACCACGGGGTCTCCGCGGCAGAGTTGACGTCGAGGGAGCTCCCGGTGTTAATTCTCCATCAGCTTTCCCAGATTGACCCTTCCTACCAAATGACACCTGCAGAGTGGCAAATCGTCGATTCTTTTCACACCGTGTTCAGAGAAGACTACACAGTGGCCGAAGACCTCTTTTCTTCCGTAAACAAAAGGGCAAGAGCAAGCGAGTATGAGGACACACACAAAGCTTTCGCAAAAGCGTTTTGGAGAATGGACAGGCTCCTACGTCTCGGAAGAAACGAAGTTTCCAGGGTTCGATGGAGTGGCTGCTCCGCTGTGACGTGCATCTTAGAAGGTAACATTAAATGTCCTTATGCTCCCAAGAACCAGAGGACAAGCGACTGGGATGGATCGGCAGAGAGTTCCCCTTCCCAGAAGATGCCACAGATAATTTCTGGAGTATTACACATTGCCAACACTGGTGCGTACATCAAGCAGTGCCAAATAACACTTGCGCGCGTTTTATTCCAGGCAGCAAAACCCCTCTTGCTTCCAGAATTATTAGTGGCCTGTTACTTAGTGGCTTCTTTGTGCCTAAGTATTTGCATTGAGTAACTTAAGAAACAACAAATCACCACAATGTAAGTGCAGATTGCGGGCACAAAAATAATTGTAATTATTTTTCAAGGAGGTACATATATAAAAACAATTAAACATTAAATTATCCAAAAGGGGTAGTGATAGAGTTGCTGACAGATATGAAAAGCAAATATACCACATATGCTTTGATCTGAATAAAATCAGAAACATTTCGCACAGTTTTTTGGGTTTTTTTTAGAAAAATGGAAAGTTGTCAGTATCATTTGTCAAACTGGCCAGTTATTCTAATAAATAATATATTTGCGATAGGTCACACTCACTGGTTGAATAGCATCAATTTTATTTTTACATTAATTTTTTTTCTTAAGAGTCCGGGTCTTGCTATGTTGCCCAGGCTAGTCTTGAACTCCTGGGCTCAAGCGATCCTCCTGTTTCGGCTTCCCAAAGTGCTGGGAATAACAGGTATAAGCCACCATGCCTGACCAAGCATCAATTTTATCTCAAAATAATAGTTCACATCTCAGTTTTATGAGCATGTGTTCCCTTCTCCAAAAAACTGGTTATAGCCTTTTAACTTTATTCCGGGAAACAATTCTTCTGAGCTTCAGTGCTTAAGGTCTTAGCTGAGGAGGCTGTTAAAATGAAAAGCCCGGGGGAAACTGTTTTAGTAAAGTTAACCCGAGTCCCATGCTAAGTTCCATGAGATGCTTAACTAGGGTTCTACTACCCCTCACATGGGTAGAATTATTATCGATGATAATTTCTACCTATTGACTACTGAAAACAGTCGTGTCCTCATTTAGGTGTCCAGTGACTGATACCCAGTGAGATCTAAGTATTGTTAACCTGGTGTTTCAGGTGAGAAGCAAGAGGTCAAAAATGTGAGATAAGTTGTTCGAGGTCTCAGAAGTTAAGAGGAACGAGAGTTGGAAATAAATGAGTCCCACTAGTCACGCTACCTCTTAAGGGGATTGCTTCCATAACCTAAGGAGACTGGACCTCCACCAGCGGGATTTTGCAGCAGAGATGGTCTTGTGAGGCCAGGTAATCACGAAGACCATGACCATGCGACAGCCCCTGAAAGCCAGCCTGTTTCTGACTCAGCTCTGGTTCTGAGCCTAAAGTGGCAAGGACTCCGGGCTAAGCAATACCAAGAAGCTAAGCGTGATGTCTGTTCCCTTGGTATCTTTGCCATTATGTTGCTAGGGAGGAGTTCTCTTTAACGGAGGGAGAGAGAAGCAGCTGTAAATCTTGCCTGGGTTCTTGACTCTACCGCAGGAAAGAATTCCACAGCAAGTCACCAGGCTGGCGAGTCAAGCAAAGAGTTTATGGGCAGACAGCAGATAGCCTCCCTTTGTTGCTGTGTTGACCATTGCTTCATCTTTAATAAATCTGCCTTTTTGTTTTTTGTTTTTTTTGAGTTGGAGTCTCACTCCGTCGCCCAGACTGGAGTGCAGTGGCCGCTCCCGGCCACCACAGCCTCGACCTGCTGGGCTCCGGCGATCCTTCCGCCTCAGCCTTCCAAGTAGCCAGAACTACAGGTCTGTTGTTGTAGAGACGAGGTCTCACCAAGTTGCCCGAGCAGGTCTCGAACCCGCGGGCTCAGGCAATCCACTCACCTCAGCCTCCCAAGGTGCAGGATTACAGGCTGAGCCACCGAGCCTGGCTAAATCTGCCTTTCTTAACTCAAAAAAAAAAGAGGGCAACCCCCTCGATCCCCTCCCACTGTGGGAGATTTTCTGTCTTCTCAATAAATCATGGTTTCTAAAAAAAAAAAGAAAGAAAAAGAAAAAAAGAGTTCATTAAGGTGAAAATACACACTTAAAGGGAAGGGTAATCAGGATGGGCACTGTCCCAAGGAAGGAAAGTCTCAGAGGGAGAACTGCATTGAGGGGGTTTTGGTGACTGGTTTGTTTTTTTTTTTGAGTTGGAATCTCACTCTGTCACCCAGGCTGGAGTGCAGTGGCATGCTCACGGTCACTCCAGCGTCCACCTGCTGGGCTCGGGCCATCCTTCCACCTCAGCCTTCTAAGTAACCGGGAACTACAGGCGCACGCTACCACACCCGGCTAATTTTTTGATTTATTGTAGAGATGAGGTCTCACCAAGTTGCCCAGGCTGTTCTTGAACCCATGGGCTCAGGCAATCCCCCACCTCGGCCTCCCAAAGTGCTGGGATTACAGGCTTGAGCCACTGTGCCTGGCCTGGTGACTGGCTTTTATTTTGTCTTCATTTAGGCATCAGGGCTGTCTCACGAGCTTATGTTCCATTTGCAAAGTGATCAAGAAGGGTGGAGGTTTTCTTTGCTCTGCTGACTCCAACTATAAACACCCTTGAGGTGTTTTCCAATATAGCAACTTGCTTCCTGCTTCTTGTAGGATGAGACAGAGGTCACATTCTCCTGCTCTTACTATCCTGCCTCAATTTCTGTGTCTATGCTGAGGTTGCAAATACTTCATGGACATTATTCATTTCAGACTCTGGGCCCATCTGGGAACTGCCCCATATTCTTAGAATGGTGACCGATATAGAAATTATCATTACACAACAGCATCCTTGCCAAACTAAATGACAAAATATGACATACTTCATGTTTAATAAGTAGACACTATCATTATGTGTCTAGAATTACTGCTGTTTGGCTGTTTCCAATCTCCAAGTTAAACATTTTAATTTAATTAAACACTTTAATTTTTAGGCCTATACAACTGCACTAAACTATTTTCATTAGGCATCCTGCATTTTAGTAGAAAGCATATGGGTGGGAAAAATTCAAACTGCCAAAGAGAACCTTAAGTCATGATTTATACTACAAAAATACTCCTAAGAGAAGGTACTTTAAATGGCTTTCAGGCATTAAGAAAAAAAAATTGCACACAAATTTATCAAGAATAATTTTGTATTTTTTAAGAACAGGATCAGTTATAGAAAGATAATTCATTTTTCCTCTTTTTTAAAAATTTTGAGTCAGAATCTCACTCTGTTGCCCAGGATGGAGTGCAGTGACAGAATCATGTCTACCACAGTCTCGACCTGCTGGGTTCAGGTGATCCTTCTACCTCAGCCTTCCAAGTAGCTGGTACCACAGGTGCACGCCACCACACCTGGCTAATTTTTTGATTTCATGTCGAGATGAGGTCTCGCCATGTTGCCCAGGCGGGTCTTGAACTCCTGGTCTCAGGCAATCCTCTCACCTCCATCTCCCAAAGTGCTGGAATTACAGGGATGAGCCACCATGTCTAGCTGATTTATCCTCTTTGAAATCCATAAAATACCAGTGTCATCAGAATGCTGGAAAAAAATCCTCAGTGAAAAATGAGGTCAATGATGGAGCCACTGAATGTTGAATTTGTGCACGTGAAAAAAAGACACTTCCAAACTGACATTGTTTAAAGTTATGTATTAATATATTTTATTGATACATAATAATTGTATATGTTTATAAGGTACAAGTAATATTTTAACACATTCATACAATGGGTAATGATCAAATTAGGGTATCTGGAACATCCCTCACTTCAAACATTTATCCTTCCTTTGTCTTGGGAACATTTCAGTTCTCTTCAGCCAAATGTGGTGCTCATACCTGTAATTCCAGGACTTTAGGAGGCCAAGGTAGGAGATGACTTGAGGCCAGGAGTTTCAACCCAGCCTGGGCAACATAGCAAGACCTCATTTCTACAACATACCAAAAATTCGCCAGGTGTGGTGGCACATCTGTCGCCCCAGCTACTAAGGAGGCTGAACAGGAGGATCAACTGAGCCCAGGAGGTCAAGGCTGTGGTGAGCTGTGATTGGGCCACTAAACTTCAGGCTGGGTGGCAGAATGACACCCCAACTCCAAACAAACAAACACATAAATAAATATTCTTTTTAGTAGGGACAGGGTCTTGCTATGTTGACCAGGCTGGTCTCAAACTCCTGGGCTCAAATGATCCTCCTGCCTTGGTCTCCCAAAGTTCTGGGATTATGGGTGTGAGTCACTCTGTCTGGACTATTTTTTTTTTTTTTTTAATAGCCGTCACTCTCACTGGATTTTGGTTTGATTTGCATTTCCCTGATGATGAGGGATGTTGGCCATTTCTATGTCTTTTGAGAAATGTCTGTTCGGATCCTTTGTCCTCTTGTTAATGAGATTATTTGCATTTTTGCTATTGGAGGGTCAGAGCTCCCTGTATATTCTGGATATTCATTAGTCCTCTGTTTGCAAATGTTTTCTCCCACTCTTCAGATTGTCTGTTCACTCTGTTGTTCCCTTTGCTGTGCAGATTAATTTTTAGTTTTAATATAGTTGTCAGTCTGTTTTGTTTTTCTTGCCAGTGTTTTTTGTTCCCATTGAAAGCTTTGATTTTTGTTTCTCTATTTGTCTATTTGTGTGTTTATTGATAGAAATGCGAGGCAGACGTCAGGATTCGTTACACAAGCAGGCTCCCTGAAGGTAGAATCCGACCTCCAACTGGCCATCACTTCCCCTGGTTTAGGACCAGGTGCTGTTTGTGATGTGTGGCCCGTGCTTTGGAAGTCTTAGCCACAAAATCTTTGCCCAGAGTCATTCCCTGAAATGTTTCTCCCGCTTTCTTCTAGTAATTTTTAGTTGTAGATCTTTGGTTATGGAATCCACTTTGAGTTTATTTTTGTAGACAGTAAGAGGGGTCTGGCTTCGCTCTTCTGCACATGGATACCCAGCACTACTTTTTGGAGAGGATGGGAGTCCTTTCCACAATGCATTCTTGGCACCTTGGTGGAAAACGTGTGGACTCTTAAGTATGTGGATTTATTTTTCTTTCTGAGTTGGAGTCTCACTCCGTCACCCAGACTGGAGTGCAGTGGCACGCAGTCTCACAGCCATCGCAGCATCGACCTGCTGGGCTCCAGCGATCA